CTCACACCTAGGAAATTCATAGGGCTTGTTCACACGACGAAAAAAAGCCGCTTGGGATGTCTGAACATCGACAACCGGACCAAAACATGGGTCTAGGTCGGCCAAACAGCCTAGTGGCACCCTTGGAAAGCAGCAAATGGGTGTCCATGACAAGCACTGCCTGCGCCAGGCCAGTCCCCAGTTCCAACACACAAGAACAACCGCCCCAACTCCCAGAGTTGCCTTCCCTGGCCTTCCCTATCTGCCGAATTCCCTGAGTGACCCTCCCAAACCTGATGGTGCCTCAAGAGAATTGACATGTCAAATGATAAATGCCAAGAGAAACCATGCACAATAAAACAAATGAGAAAAGATAGCACATCAATAAGATACTGATAAGAAGATGATGATGAAAATCGTAATAATTACGTGTCAATATACGACCATGAATAGAAAGTGACTACAGGAACTTGACCATTCGGGTAGTGTATGTACAGGAGTTCATAGTCCACCTACTTCTGATTCCGATGCCTTATGAGAAAAAGAGAAAAGGAGGCAATTCAAACTAGATATAGATAGCGAATCAACATGATCCCATAAACATCTTTACCACAAACTAAAGAAACAACATGTTTTTAATGTTTCGTGGAACTCGTATTAAGCTGAATTCCTCCCCTCAAGGCAACGTATTCTAGCACTCCGCGAGCTTCGCAAGCGCGGCATTTCTTTATCCCAGGTCAAGGTTCACCTCGTTTCTCAGTGCACGCCGCGCGGACTAGCACTATGCCGGCCTTGGGCGCAAGACACTTTCAATACCGCCGCGACCAACGCAGCCATGCCCAATGGCCATAAACTTGATGGGGCGACTCGTGCCTTATTGCTCTGTGCACACTTGTTGTTCGTCTTGCCTGAAACAAGCACTTCTTCTAGAAAACGGTTTGGATGCGCTGTTGTGTATTTCACCAGTTCTTCCCCTGGTTGCCATCTTGTAGTACTCTTTGAATATCCTACAGGGGTGGATCCACACAAGCCATATCCAAAAACAAGAGGCATGAGATGACACTTGACTTGGCTGTTACAGAAGCAGACCAGCAGGAACAAGCTGTATCGTCACCTCCAAGGATATGTAGCGTCCTGCTGCTTTAGATTGCAAGCCTATTGAGAGCGCCCTATCGCTATCCTATGCACATTGGATGCAGGGCATACTTAGCTCGTTCTGAATCACTGCAACTACATGTCAACAAGCCGTGCAGAAGTTGCAAATCCATGATTCTGATTGCAAACTCATTCTCCCAAAGCCGCTGAAGATGCAGTAGTTAATGGGTATGGCCCCCTGGAGGAATCTTCATAGCAACTAGCAGGAATGCATTGCCTCACTTGACAACTGATGACCCCTGTATATGCTGAAATCACTCACCTGCGATCCCTCAAATGGATGCTGACTCAACCTTACGAAGTTGTCGCCCCAAAGGACCTTTAAGTAAATGTTCCGTGTGTGTTTGTGTGTGTGTGTGTGTGTGTTTTTTATCTTGCGCCCAACGCATGCGCAGCACTTTCGCGCGTTTCGCGAATTGTTTGCAGGGTGCAACCGCTTCAATCTATCTTTGCGGCAAGTACACCTGCCAGCCGGCGGGACTTCCGGTGGAATGAAGTCAGAAATGGTCGGCATCATGGGGTCTGCATCCAGCTTTGATGTGGATCAATCGCTCCCTGTCGACAGATTCTGAAGTTCATCCACGCTGACAGAAGCGATCAGAAGATTTGAGAGCCTTGCAAAAGATTGGTCATGAGCAGGCGCTCGTGCGGAACACCTGAAGATGGAAGTGGTGCAGGGCGATACAGGGCCTGCACACCAACTCTAGCCTTCTGTTTGGCTTTTTGACCAGACCAAAGAACCCCTGAAAGACATCCCACGTTTCGCTGGCGGATGAAAAAACAGGGAAATCAAAGAGGCAAAAGAGCAAAGCTAGCTAAGCCTGGCAATCTCTGAAGATTCCTGATAGTGACCAATCCAGCACGCCACGTGGGGTGGTAGTTCAACATTCACCCCCTAACGTGGATCTAACATCCCGTCCGCACTGGCACCACCGCACAATTCGCGCCGTCAATCGCAACGGTCTTCGCGCCAATTGTGGTTTTGCAGTGCTAAGTAAAGGTCTCATTCCGCTCCCCCTTGCAGGCACCCTCAAGCAACATCCCTGGGTCAATTCATTTTGCGTCAATAGAGGTCTGCAAGCCAGAAAAGTGATCCATGTCCATCCCAGATTCTCAGCGCATGATCCTTGAGGCTCTGCATGCCCAATTGGGCTGGGGGGAAGTGGCTGGACCTCTGTATTTACGTCCAAGCGCCACTCGCCGGAGTTCATTTCTTAGGACAATTGAATTTTGTTTGATCGTGGCGTAGGACTCGGCAAGCTGCCGCTCCTTGGAAGTGCAAGGACACATGCCAACCCACCTGCCTTTGTTTGAGCTGTCAAATCCTTCTTTTCAGCTTCCTCCTTTCTCTCCATGGATTACCCGACAGAGGGGTCCTGGAAGATCATTTTCCTTGTCAAGAAACCACATCCCGTTCAGCTTCCATGTTCATCCGTGGTGGACCTGTTTTCGGAGCAGGTTGGCTCAATAACTGTGTTGCCACGGCGGCTGATTCAAATCAGCCGGTGTGCCACACAGGAGACCTCTGTTGGTCGACAGGAAACCCCATCGCTCGATAACCTTTGGACGGCTGGACTGCCAAGCGATCAGCGGTTAGGGCCCGTTCCGGGGTCAGCCGGTTCGTCAAACACACGTGCGGTCAGATCACTGAGTGAATTCCGTCAGATCCGTCAATGCCATGCCCGTCTCCAACCTCCAAGCCCTGCAAACAAAGTATGCTCCAAATACTGTTTGAAAGATATTGAAAGAACAATGGAAGGGACATTCAAGGTTTAAATGTTCTTTTGAACCACTGTTAGTAGTTGCCTTTTCACATTTGGCCTCATTCAAATAGCAGATTGATATATTACAGTTGCTTTCTGTCAATCGCTAGATGCAAAAAATATCGATCTGTTATTCAGGTGCGTGTGGAGGCCCCGTGAAAGATGTAAGCCGAGTCATCAGTGCAACAGGACACAGCATGTCTTTTTGGGCGGAAGCCTCTTGTGGGGCTGGAAGGGAACCCGAAGGAAACCGGAGCTCATTTTGGGGCTCCCCTAATTTTGAAACAGGGGTAGCCATGGCAAGTGGATGAAAAGATCACCTTCACATTTTTCCAATTGGGCTTAGCACATGGGAGTTCCTCCAATTGGTGGACCCCGTTTGGATTTGTGTGTCAAAGGGAAACCAAATGGAAACCAACCGTCTGAGGGCCCATATTTTGAGAACTAAGCATCTGGTGTCCTTACCTCAGCTTATGCCAATAGGGTACTACTTCTTGCCGACCGACTGGACCCCTCCTGTGATGCCGTAGCTAACCGCCCCAGGGCGAATTCTTGCAAAAGGAAAACGCGCATGGCCTCGTGACATTTTGGCTCAGTGTCCCTGAGACATCCCATGTCTCGCACCCCCGCCCTGATTAAGGCCAGGGCCACACAAAAAGAGAAACCGCCCCCGTGGTCCGGGTGCTCTTGTTTTTTCGTGCTCAAGATGCCTCTGCTCATTTCAGCATCTTCTCTTTTTCGGGACACTGAACAGAGGCTTGCAGCGTGGGTTTAACTTGTGCTTGGTTGAGGTAAGCACCAAGGGGCCTTCATAAGATAACGGGATGGCAACCCGGCCACGCACTGTACCGCAAGTGTTCGGGAGCCATCCAGGGCTGAAGGAAGCTGCGCGCAGTTTTTGGCGTCGGCGATCTCCTTGCGAGCTTCTGTAGCCTTCCGCCTCAAGTCGCAAAAGACCAACCGCGTCGCCTGTCGCCTGGAGGGCGCAAAGGCCTGGGACTGAGTACACAGATCTACAAGTTTCCACCAACAGCAAAATCTGTTGAGCCTCATCTTGCGCATCATCTCAGAGGCAACCAAAAGATGTGGGAAAAGGATGGTATGGGATGGGCAAAGGACACCAAGCCGAAGTACTATCCTGGTTGGTCGCTCACGGCAAATAAAACAGTTGAAATGCCATTGTGCCATCTACAAACTGCCCTTGCAAGCGTGGTCGGCAGTTCAACTGCTAATCTTACAAAGATCCCGGCATCAAACCCCGTTTCCTTTTACTTAACGTTTGACATGGGAATGAGGCTCATGTGATCCCCGACCAGCTTGCTGACCCAAGAAATGAGAAATTTGGGGAGGCCCCTGGCTGCGAAAAATATGGGTTGGCGTTTTCTGACCCGAAGCTGACAGTAGACGTCCAGTAACCTTTGTGGGTTGCTATGGGTCCTTTCTCAGTAAAGTTTCTCCATGGTCAAGCCACAAGCATCCACTGAATGGTCCGCTGAATACGGCTTCAGTAACCCCTAAAACAGGCCCCCGAAAGCAGGCGGTTTCCTCTAGTCTTGTCTTACATCAGACTCCCTATTCCTTCGACACCCCACATTGACCCGGGCCAGTCCATTTTCGCGGAGGCGAGAACGCCGGTTACCATCCAAAGGGGAGAGACTAGGGCACCACCCAAGGAAGTAAATTGAGTAACCGGCCAAGGGGCGGAAAGCCACAAAAGAGACCAAGGCTGACAAGAGGGCTTCAAGAAAGACGACCAGTCTGAATTAAAATTCACAAAGAATGAGTCGAATACCCAAGTAAAGGGCCTTCATCAAAAGTTCAGGTAAGCGATTCGTCCACTTCGGGGGGGAGGTAAAGGGCATCTTCCCCCTCTCATAAGGGCTGGGGGGGAGGGAGGGGAGAGGGAGGGAGCCCTAAAAACCCTTAGTAAGCCCATATTAGGGCCTTATTAAACCCTTATTAAGGCCTTATTAAGCCCCTATTAAGGCCTAAATATCATTTGGGCTCCCTCCCCCCTCCCCTCCCTCCCCCCTCCCCTCCCTCCCCCCTCCCCTTCCTCCCCCCCATCCCCCACACCCATTTGCTGCCCAAACGGCTCCGGCTTCAGCCTTCCTCGGGCATCAATTTCATGACGTTCCCCATCTCTACGCCTGCGTCCTTCAAACTCTTGCTGCCATCCAGCACCCTACCTGACAGCTGGAGGACGATACGCGCGGGAGGAAAAGAAGGAGCAAGGAAGGGGAAAGTTGGAAATATATATATATATGATTTAACAAAAAAGGAAGAAAAACAAGCTGTTTGAAATTTGAAGATTTTGAAGATCCGCAGGGCTGGACCGCAAGACTATTCCAAGAGGACATGAAGAATAAAGCCGGGCGCAACCCGCCCCTTCCTTTCGTTTTCGTGGAGAGACTTGATGCTGGCTGGTGCGATAAGCAGGGAATGAGAATTGGAATGACCCCAAGAAACCCATCGAACTGGTGGCTTCCTTTCAAATCAGCAGGCTCATTCCCACATTCCCTACGCACCAGCAAGTGTGTGGGGATTTACGGCAGCACATCAAAGGAGCATTGCTACTACTCTCCCATCACCCTGGCGAACGAACTCGCAACTTGATCGGATTTCTGAGAAACTTATCAAAAACGACAAAGCGCCAAGTCAGACAAAGCACACAAAGACAAAGCAAACAAAGACAAAGCAAACGCGGCCCAGACAAGCTTACACATCAACCAGCGCATGTTCAGCCAACTAGACTAGCAACCTAAGACAAAGATCACACCAAATCTCGCCACACCAAACTACACCACACAACGGGAGACCAGGCCAAACAACCCTCCAGTGTGCAAACGCACCACCAAATGGGTGTTTCTCAGAATAGGGCCCCCAAAAATGGTCGGCTTCACAAGGTGTCCCTTGCGACCAACCAAAAGGGAGTCCACCATTTTGAGAATCTCCCATTAAATTTTGACCCACACCCACATCGCATTCGATTCGCAAACCGACGGTGAACAACATCTCCCACGCGCCTCGGAAGGTCAGGACGTAAGTTCCATCCAATCCGCACTGCTCGGTGGCCGTTTTGGCCGCCTGGCCCAAACGAGCGGCTGCGGGCAGAAGTGCTCCAGAGCTGCTCTGCGCGAAGAACAATAGAATTCCTTGAATGTCCTCTTCAAACGTCACTCCAAAAGGATACTGCTTGATTGGCTCAGGTGATCTTGACACGACTCCGTGCAAGAACCCTCTTCAACTTTGCCCCAAAGGCTAGCAAAAGGTGCCCGGTTTGCAGCCGAGTCCATGGGGGGTAATGTTGAGCCCGGATTGATCGAGTTGGATGCACCCAACAGTGAGTAGACCCTCTCAAAGGGACCACCTCTCTGTTCAAGCTGAGTAGGTCCCCATCCCTAGGGTTCAACCCCCATTAAAAGAATGGTTGACCCAAATTGGATGATGGCAATCCTTAGGTAACAATGGTGGTGAAATATGAACCCAACCATTGGTTTAGTGGTGGCAACTGAATCCCAGGGTGATCCAACAGGTATCCTTGCATTTTACACCTGAACATTGCCTTGTCAATGGTGGTTTCCCTTTATTTTGATGGAAAAAGCCATGTTTCGAATGGGCAAAACGTATCTTTCAAGGAGCCCTGTCCAAGGAAGTGGGCAAACCAAAATGGTTCCCGGCGGCCCCGCCTCAGCCACCAAAGTGGACAGGTCCACATCAAAAGGCTTCGTCTCACTCGTTGTGCGCAGGAAGACCCTCGCCTCGCCAGTCGAAAGCTCCGAGGGGAAAAATTCCCGTGGTCTTCCGTTGATTTCTCGCATGTCGGTGTCAGATACATATTTTTGACGAAGTGGATCGACTTCGCACGGAAAAAGGTTCAGGCGCCAGCATCTTCCCAAAGTAACACGGGGAGGGCTCCAAACGGTCGCCGAGGTCTCAGGTCCTTCGGGTGATATAAGGCTGAGCCAGGGGTCCCATGCGGGTGATGCTGGGGATGCTGCCTGAAGGAGAGCCCTCAATCCAGCAGCCATGGGGAAAAAGGCCACCCTTGCCACAAAGACCGGCCTTCCACGAATCGGGAAGCCAGACAAGATCTTCACCCTACAATGGCACCTGATTAGGGAGTCCGGCCTCAACGGGACCCTCTCATTCGTCAGTTGCTATGTGCCTTGGTTTAAAGGTACCTTGTACGGTGGAGCAACCCAAGAGGAGCCCACCCCAACATTTTGGGGTGTCGCTATTGCCGAACAATGTCGGACACATAGCCGCACCACATGGGGTTTCTCAGAATGGTGGACATCCTTTTGGTTGGTATTTAATTCAAGGGAAGCCAAAACGGAACCAACCATTTTAGCCCACTATTTGGGTATCTGTCAAAATGGGGGTGGACTCTAAACATGGTGGTTTTACAAACAAAGAAAAACGCTGCCCCATTTTTTGGGGGGTCCCAGTCCTGAAAACAAAATATCGGGCCTCCCATATGGCTGTAAGACACGCCTTGCGGGGCTTCTGCCTCTTGGTGACGACCATCTCAACCTAGCGAATGCTGTCGAGCTGGCCTGATGAGTTTGTGTGTTTGGGTGGTTGTCTCGGTTGTTTGGTCGTTGGCTGCTTGGTTGGTCGGTTGGTGGTTGGTTGGTTGGTCGGTTGGTCGGTTGGTCGGTTGGTTGGTTGGTGGGTTGGTGGGTTGGTTGGCTGGTTGGTCGGTTGGTCGGTTGGTGGGTCGGTCGGTCGGTCGGTCGGTCGGTCGGTTTGTTTGTTTGTTGGTTGGTGTTTGTTCCTAATTTGAGGTCCTGATAGAATGGACAAAACGCCGCTTACTTTGCTGCGTCTTGGAACTCTCAAAATCAGTGCTAAGGTTCGTTTAGAAGAAAACAGTGACAACTAGCTCGGCATACCTCCACGGGAAACCTGCACTATTTGGTAGGACACACTGCCACACACATTGCTTCAATAAGGCGGTGCAAAGCAAGGCTACTCTCGCGGCCAATTAGGCTTGCAGCTCCAAGGAAACTCGGTGAGTGGCGCCCGTAATGTTGAACAAGCCCAACGAAAACATGTGCGTAATTGTGAGTGTGAATCTTAACTTTCGTAGACATCAGACACCAACCATTCTGAGGTATGTTTCAACCACCAGTTGCCGGTTTTTGCGTCCCAGGTTGGGATTGCGCATCCGCACCTCTGTCGGCCTTTTGACAGCCCCGAACAATGACTCACACCTGTTGACAGTCAAAACACATTGGGCTATCCCACCATGTGACATGGCTCTTTGCAAAAAGATATACCCTCCCTCCAACAATCATGGAAGCTGACAGGAGGGTGTTGAAAGACTGTTTTCCTCTTGGGGAAGCCCCCTGTCCACTTCCATGATTGTTTGAGGGAGGGTAAATGGGACACGGGCTTTGGAATTTCCCTCAGGCCATCTAAACGGAGGCCAGCGAAATTTGGGGACGTGCCACATGAGCCACGGCCGAGAACCTGCGGCTCCTGAAAATGGACAGGGAACGGAACCCTCGTGGTTTTCGGGAGTTGCCGGTGAATGAAAAGTGGTGAGTTCATCATAGTTCATCCATGTCCCTCCCAAAAGGACGACAGATTGAACCATTTTAACATTTTGACCCACCTCGCATGTGCCAAGATCTTGTATCGTGGTTGTCTAGGCTTCCTATCAATTGATGACCATCCCTACCAACGGGTGACTCTCGTGAGGCACACATCTTTATTCCAAGAAACAAACAAAGGAAACAGCAAACAACCTTCATGGGTGAGCTGGTACTCATTCTAGTCACAGTATCCGTGGTAAGAAGGCCTTCTGTAGTTATACCACTTCTACCCATGGTTGTAATTAAGCCACTTACGCAAACATCCAAGTATCCGATTTCCACCACAACCAATCTCTACGTTAAACGGGAGACCAAAAGCAGGCTGTTTCAACAGTGGTTTTCCTGGATCAAAATTATGCGCCCCGACCTGCGCGAAGTGGATGTTTGCGCACAAATGGGTGGCTAGCCCCAAAAATGGTCGTCTTCCTTTGGGTTCTCCTTTGAACCCACCAGAAAAAGCCAAGCTTGCCCAAGCTCGAGCTTCCGAGCGGGCGCTTCATGGCGCTTCCGGGCCTTGCTTCCGGCGGCGATGCCGCACTTTGCCAAGGTGGCGCTTCCATCCTCGGCTTTGGTTGTTCTCGGGGGGTTGGTGTCCCATTCTTTGAAAAACCATTCAGCTTCCCACTGAGGGTTTGGGGCGTGGTTTGGTGGTTCTGGCGGGGTCCCCTTTTCGCCTCTGAACCAAGGGTTCAAATCTCCTCAACCACTAATTCGAATTTCCAAGTTCTCAAAAAACAAACAGATGTTTTTTTCTGGGTGTTTGATGTTTTCCTGAACAAAAGGATCCCTGCAAAGATTGGGGAAGCTTCTTGGAGGCGGCTCTCTGTTTTGATGCCGCTCTACCGGGCCCATGAGTCTGGCAAATCGATTCGTTGGCCCTTGACCGAAGGCTTGGAGGGTCCTGGCTTTTTTTCTCCCTCGCCTGCCATGCACCTTGGAACATACACGTTTCTTTGGCTCCATGTTTGCTTTGGCGCAAGGCTTTGGGACCTTCAGACGGGTTCCCAAAGAGTTGTGATCAAGCCTCCACATCTGATGGAACCCATAGAGGGACATCGCCAGACAGTCCTAGGCCCCCAACTGGCCGTGGCTTGAAAGGGTCGTGAGAAAAACTTAGAATCATTTACCAGAATCCATATCTGGCCTTATGGGACACCTGATGGACAAATCCTGCAATTGGCTCCACGGCTATGTCGATTCACCAGGGCCCCAATCGAACCTCTACCCAGTTGATCCATTCAGCTTGGTTCTGGCGAATTGATCCTCGATCTGTCCATCGCCGTGGAAAGGTTGGCCTGTGTTTTCTTTGTTGGGGACCGCTTGGACAACATTTCCACGATGTCCACCATGTTTCAAGGGGTCGCGGGGTCCGTATTGAAATCCATGCCTCATGCTACGTGTAGGTCGATTTTCAAGGCCGATCCACACCGATGCGTGCCCATGCCCCAAACGAAGGTCCCCTCTGAGCACTCAGTGCCCTTCCGAAACGGGTGATGTCAACATCAGAGGAATCTCAGACCCTCCCACCAACTAACATGGAACCTGACCTTCGGGACCCGGTCCCTTTAAAAGGAAAATGGTTCCATGTTAGTTGGTAGGGTACAGCTCACCGGAACCCAAGGCATTAAGGTGGTCGGTGTTCTTACTCAAAAGGGCACATCCCTGACGGCCCTGGATGAATCCGAAGCTCACACTGTGCCCTTCCAAAGAGAAGCTCGAGTAATTCCGACAGATGTTCAAACCCCAACAATGTAGTTGAGAAGCCTTTTGGGCCGCGCCAACCTTCAAACTCCAAAAGCGTCAACGTGCCGGGGGACGTTCAGCTGTAGGCCAGCGTGATGAAGGCGCATGTCCGCCACTTGCACGCCGTGGCCCATCTTGAGGAGCTTGATGTGCTCCTTAAGATCCTCCAATGCAGTGCTCCAAGCTGGGCCAGACGAATCCGAGCCCTGCAAAAAGTGTTCAGTCTTTGCCGGTTGAAAGGAGTCCCTTAAGGGTGAGGCGTTGGTCTGATGCACAGGGAAGCCAACCACCGGGACCCCCCTGACTTCCGCTTCCCCTCCCCCCCAAAAAAAGAACGTTCCAACCCACCAGAGTAGTGGTGACCGAAATCCACTGGCTTCCCACCATGGGCAAACAGAGCATCCCTGTTAACCGTGGCTTACATTTGATGGACCCTCCAAAACCCTCTATTTCTAAAGGGAAGCTCTCCAAAACAGCCTGATCCTTTTAAGAAAAAGAAAACTTGGGTCGGTGGCTGCATAGTTGCTGTATTATACATACAATACAAGGAGCCGTATGTATATATATATATTTGTATGTATGGTTCCGGTCGGCGAGCGGCCACCCCCCCGGTATCCCCCCCCACTTGGGGGGGGGGGTGGCCGCTCGCCGACCGGGGTACGACTCTCGAAGCCTTGGCCCAAACCGGAACCCACCGGCGCCCACGTGGGGGGGGGGGGGAGAGGCCTTTTGCAAAATGACCAGAACCTGCAAACCCAGCGGACCACAGGGGGGGTGGGGCCCTATTTAAGGCTACCATGACCATGTCGGGGGAGGGGGCGGGGGGTGCCAGACCTCTACCATATATATATATACAGCCTTTGGGCGCAAGCCGGCAGTTTCGCCATCTGTTTCGGATTTCGCTCGGGGAGTCCTGAATCGTCACGCTGGTCTTCAGGCAGAGCACCTCCTCATGGCCGTCCATGGTCGCGATGGTCACAAAGATGGGCTCCTCCTCCGGCTGTTGTGATGGGCTCTCGTCCTTTCTCTTGGGCGGTTAAAGGGTCACCAACATGGGTGGGCTTTCCTTTGCTTCCTGTTGTCTTCCCTTTAGATACCAACCATTTTGTGGGGTCCTTTTCCTCATTTTGAGAACTCAATGAGCGAATCCACTTCCAACCCAAGGAGGCTCTCCCACAGCTCAAGGGGACGGGAGCCGCTCTTTGTCATCCGCGAGTTGAACGTGGGGGTGCTGAAGTTAGGGCCCTTTCTTTTTCTCACAGATCCGGCGAGCTACCATCCTGAGCTAGACTTCGAATCATGAACCCTCCATCCATAGATGCGGCGTGAGCCGCCCTCCCAGATAGAATTCCACGAGGGCCATGCATAGGATAGAACTGTTGTTGTCTAAGATCTTCACTGCAAATGGGCAGATGGGAGTGCAAATTGCACAACTTACAAGGGACCCTCGGACTCGCGCTCCTGCCGTTGGGAGCCCTTGGCAAAGCTCTGGCGAGCTTTAAGGGGCGATGAGCCATTTGGAGAGGTCAGACTCACTTGAGGGGCTCTTGACTTGTTTGGCGCCTTCATCTCACTTGATCAGGTGCAAAATCCACCTTCCCTCTCTCTCTCTCTCTCTCTCTCTCTCTCTCTCTCTCTCCCTCTCTCTCTCCTGGCACTTTGGAATCGTGGTGGCAACGACGGGCGCTTCCAGGCAGCGGTAAGTGCTTGTCACATACTTGCAAGCCTTCGGTTGGTCGCGCGTGGTTACGTACGTCACGGTCGTCGGCGTGGGATAGACCATGCAGATCGTCATGGCAGATGACTCCGCTCCCTCCGTCTCTCTCGTGGTGCTGACCGCTAAATGGCTGCAGAAAGCGATTTCGGAAAGCTCACTCCCCTCGAATCGGCGTGCAAAGATGGGAACCCGCGAAAAGCGAAACACGGGTGGCGTTCCATTCGAATTCCCTTGCAAACCACCCCGAAAAGGAAAAACCAACAACAAAGAGGACCATCAAACTCATGAATTCTTGCCTTAAGGCCACCCTGTTTGTTTTGGGGGGGGATCCCCGCAAACACCACAGCCGCTGATGCCTCCCCCCCCCACACTCCGCCTCGCCGGGCTGGGCGCCGGCGGCGTGGCGCGGAACTCCGAGGGCCGGGCCCGGGAGGCCTCGTTCGGCCGCGGAATCGGCCGCGGAATCGGCCGCGGAATCGGCCGCGGAATCGGAGGCGGTTCTCGGCTCGGAGTTCCCCGTACCCAGTTTAAAGGCCTCATGGGGTCAGGTCCTTCAGGGGACTGAAGGCTGGGTGTCCAAAGTGACATCGCAGGTGGTTGACCCAGTTTAGGGGCGGTTTTCCTGGTTCCCGCACCCAGACATGGGATTTTCGAGGGCCTTCAGGGACTTCCCTTGCCCAGATTGACGGTTTTCGTCGGGTTTCACTTTCCCAAACTGACATGGGGGTTCCATCAGGTCCAGGGTTTCCAACAGAAGAAGGACTGACATACCGAAATATTGAGAGTCCCTTACCCCGGATTTTTCCTGACGCTGGCCCAAACCAGGACCCAGAGTCAGGTGCTTGTGGATGGGGAGGGTCACGCCGCACAAAGGGCTCAATCAATAGACAAACGCCAGCCAGCATCCATGGGATCACAGCCAGCATCTTTCGTATACCTATCTAGCATCTCCAGCACCCGCAGCCAGCATCAAGAAATCTAGCCAGCATCTCCAGCTTCCACCGCATCATCTGCAACAGGCGCTCGCAACGAGAAAAAGCGGAGCAAAAACTCTGCAGCGCATCTCCAGCATCCCCGGCATCAGCTCGGCACCAGATCTGCAAAGTCGCACTACCCCCCGAATCGGTGAGCTCGCCTAAAATGATCAGTTGAGATGTCTCCATTGCATTCCCTGATGATGATGATGATGACGACGATGACGACGATGATGATGATGATGATGTTGTTGTTGATGATGATGATGATGATGATGATGATGATGATGATGATGATGATGATGATGATGATGATGATGATGATGATGATGATGATGATGATGGGTTTCCTCGCTGCGCTGAAAGCCCTACAGCAAAGCTCAACATTGGACGGGCCACCCCCCTGCTTAGGGCTCGGCATTTTTTGCCAAAGCGGAGGAGCTCTGGGTGGCAAACATCAAAAACCTCCCACACGCACCACCTGCAAGTACACCCTTAAGAACACAACTAAAGTGGAGGGTTGCAGTTTTTTCAAAACTGTGGATCAATTCTGCACCAGTTGGCCGGTAGAACCAAGAATGCCATCCATATATGTCCAAAGGGTTTCATCCATCCCAAGTGGTGGAGGCTGTCCATCCACCTGGCTCAACTCTCCTGGGTCGCCGGCCACACCGGGGCCTGAGCCACACGGCGTTTTTTGGTCGGTTCGACTGGTGGTTTGCGAGTCAAGGGGAACCTGGTACCTGGTCGCGTCATAGTGCCTCCGGGTCCCAAAAGCGACCCGGATGCTCCCACAAATAAAACGAACTCCAATCAAAATCGAGCCGAAGGGGCGATTTGATCCTGGGCCCTCACGCCAAAAAAAAAAAAAAACGGATTGACCTCTCACGGCCAAAGTCAACTCGTCCACGCTGCTGGGAGGGCGGCTGGCAACGCGCGGCCTGCGCATGCAATCCACGTCAAGCGGCGCGAGCAAAAAAAAACCGACCGAGGCCCGGTATCAAAGATACCGAAACCCCACGGGGCTTTCCCCCACTCCACTTGCCCAGGTGGGGTATGGCGGGCAACAACCTCTATGTTTTGGGGACCATGCCAAACTCTCTACCACCCTAATAAACATATGCTCATCAAACACCAGGAGCCTGATTACTTGATCGCTGAACCGAGCTCTGAAGTCGAGGTACGCTTTCATCACCCTTAAATCTGATGTCCCCCAGTCGTCCTTCTGGTCCCAGACGAAAATTCACACCCATCTTGCTTGGTTGCTTTCTGCTGCCCTACATTTGGTGGTTTAATGGAAAACCCACTAGATGGCAAAAAGTTAAAAAGGGATCCTTACATTATACTCCTGAACATTGCCTTGTAAATGGCGGTTTCCCTTTATTTTGGTATTAAAAACGCAACAGGAACAAATGGTTGCAAAATGGAGATCTTTTAAGGATCCCTGTTAAAGTGCTAACATCCCTTGGCAACATGCACCACAGATTGGCTCTCTCACCCCACGATTTCGCCCCAGCCCAAACTGCGCGAAGGCGCTTCTTCCGCGCCTGGAAGGCGAACTCACGGAGCCCAAACCACCTGGCACCGGACTTTTTGCCTGGTCTGCCACTTTGAGCATTGGTTTTTTGGGTCACTTTTAGACGAGTTTTCTCTTGGTTGGGTGATGCTTCTGGGGAAATTATGGGGAGCCGTGATTTCCCTCGTTAGCTTCGGATGAATGGGACTCTGAAGGTTGAAAACTGAAGCCAGGATTCGCTTGTGGGTGTTTGTTTGGGCATAGAGAAGGAGGCCAACATTGCCAGCTCAGCATCACCAGTGGCAGGGGAAGAACAAATGCAGGGTGGGCAAGTGCATTTTGTGTTCCACCTCTGTTTGTTGGGGGCCAAAAATGCACCCACATGGTCTGCATCACCAGCACCACCCAACCACTTTGGGGTGGCCTATGACCACAAAAGTGGATCATTCAAACATGGCCTGGGCCCGAAAACACTGGGTACGTGCTTTGGAGGCTACCAGTTTTGAGGTTCGTTGCTTCAGGGAAATCTAGGGAAAGCCGCCTGTGCCACATATCCACATTCTTTAATGTTGTTTCTTGGGGTGGGGGGGTCCCATGTTTTGACACCCGGTTCCCATATTTTGACACCTGGCTTTGCGCCGTCGGCAAATCCCCGGCCTCCGCTTCTCAATGAACTGCCAGCCCTCGGTTCGTTTGGGTGGGGATGTGAACCCCCGGTTCTTGAGGGCTCTTGAGCAGGTTTCCCACTGCCCAACCTCCAACCCCTTCACAGCTTTCAAGGCGAACATACCGAGAAAAAAATATATCTCAAAAACGCCCAGTCGCCGGCTGAAAAAAAAAGTCGGCGCCAAACTTTTAGGTTGCCTGATTCTAGAGTGAAAAACCCATCCCCCCACAATGGAGAGCTCGCACGGGCTGGGGCAAATGGCCCATGGCCGCATGGTCTGTGGCCATCTGAGTTCCGAGCATGGATGAGGTGCCAATCTGGGCGTCATGGAACTCACATGGACTGCGCAGCCGCCCGTTTTTGGGGGTAAGTAGATGTGGCTCTAGTACCAAGTACCTCATTTTTGTTGCTTTTGCATTACCTATTTTCTTGTGGCTGCGCCATGGATTACCTCAATCCCTGCTTTTGCAGGTACCTATTTTTTTGTGGCTGCGCCATGGATTCTAAGTGTCCATGAAACGGCAAGCCCCAAGCAGAGGCCGAGCCCAAAACCTGGGATGTCTGCAAGCCCATGATCCAAGCGAAAGCCTGGAACTCGATGCACATCAAACGTCTGTGAAACCTACGATTCGGGCACCAAACGGTGCGCATCAGGTACATGGAAATGTATATCTGCCGTCAAATGTGAGCAGGCACACGTGTGGGATTCAAAGCAGATCCTTCCTGCTGGTACTTCCCCCCATTCAAACCTTAGATATAAAAGAGCAAATGTCATTTCAGAATTCCTTATGTTGAAAAGTAAGCTTATGTCAGACTGGGTTAGTAGGAACCTTTCGTTGGCCGCCGTAAACCTCACGGGGTTGACGGCCATCCCTCTTCAGCGCATCACGGTACTTTGCCCCCGAAATCGGAGAACCAAGGAACCCCCCAAAACGTGTATCCTGCCCACAACAGTTGCAAGACCCTCCAAAAAGAGGAGCCACCCACCAACAAAAAGTAGAGAAGGACCAAAACACGTTGAGAACCCACGAGAAACGACCAGCGAGCCCCACCCAAAGCGGGGAGATCACCAAAAAATCCTACAATAAATTTCCCGAGTTCCGGGAGATTCCCACAACACGAGGGGAGAAGCCCATCCAAATGGCTTTGGCTCAAAAAAACGGTACCCAAAATGGAAGACTGGTAAGTGGAAACATGGACCGAAACCTGCGGTTTGCCCCTCCTGTTTAATTTTGAGCCACACCCAAATGGTTCAAACACCCACCCAGCAAACCCCGCCCCCCGCAGCAATTGAGAAAACCCGCCCAAAGGGGAGACACCCGCCCCAAAAAGAGTGGAGCAACGCTGGATCAAGGCGAGAATCTTGCAAGGATTCCTCGGAAGACTTCCTAGCCAACTTCTCACCAGGCTCTTCCTCAGAAACTTGGTCAGGGTCATGACGTGCTTACTACCTACTCTGGTTCTCCAAATCTCTATGGGAGTGATGCCATTTCTGCCAACAGGAAAAACTGTGACTAGACGGCACATGTCGCGCTGAAAACGCCCGTGCCTGTCTCCCCGCTCCTGGCAAAAACACGCAGAACTCCGGCCGAGTTGGCGGCAAACTAAAAATGCCTTCCAGCAGTCTGGCGGGGAGGCCCTTTGAATGGTTTAAACGGACAGGGAAGCGTCTTTTTTGAATGGTAGCCAAAAAAAATCAACCAGTTTTGGGAGAGGCCATCGCTTTGAGTACTGTTCTGGGCAGGGGGGAGTAGTGGGGGGACCACCCAAGCAAAAACAGAAGTTCATTGCAGGCAACAGGTGGTTCCCAAACCATGTCGCCGTCAGAAAACGACATCAGCTTTTCCGCGAAAACATGTGCTCGATTCTGGTGCCCAGTCTGGTCCAACTTTGCAAACCTGGAAATGCTTCGACCCTTCGG